CCGCCTGTAAGTTAAAAGCCGATTCCTGAAGCCGGTCGTTAGGATTTGCTGGAAGAACGCTAACTTCTGCGCCAGTGTCGACGAGGTAGCGAACTCTCGTTGTCATATCTGTGACGAATAACAGACGGCTTTGTTCGCCGGCTACGGTTGCCGTTAACGCGTGCCGGCTTGGAAGTTTCCCGAATTGCTTTTCGAATCAGTCGGTTTCGTGTTGGGAAAATTGCAGGGTTTTCTGCAATTTCTGGAAAGCTTTCCATACTGGTTATGATACCAGCACCAGTCGGGGTTATCTGTCTCTCGTGGTCTAGAGACAGATCGCTTACGAGAAATGCTTCTACGTGGCGTGCGCGATCTCTTACGGTCGGTACGAAGACTAAGATAACTCGTGAGTGTGTGACATAAGTCGGTTATATCATTCTGAGTCGTGTGAGGTTTTTCTTTGACTGAAAATACCTCGGTAGTAGATTTCGTAATTTCTAATATGCGGTCGGCAGATGCAGCTAGCTCGTCTAAGGCATTGTTCTGGAACGAGACCAGAACTGCTTGCACCTGTTGGGGAAGTTTTGACAAGAAGAGTTGTTTGAATAGGCCTTCGTCGAAAGTTCTTGGGCCTATTACCTCTCTCATCCGTTGCAACATGTCTGTCGCAGAACCATGTTGCAGGTCGATATTGTTGAAGAGTTGATCTAACCTTTGTCGATCGGTTAGGTCTCCTCGTTTAAGAATCGAGCGTTTTAAGATTTCGTAAGGATCGGAAACATCACTAGTAAACATACTAGGTGTTACGTACCTGTTGAATTCGCGCGGTAGTGCCTTGACTACTGCGAGGAATTGTGCACGCGTGTCTTTCACGCCGTGCTCGGAGAAGTCGGCTTCTGCGTAGCAGAACCAGGCTTCGATGTTGTCGGGCCAGAAAGGCATCAGTTGAAACGAAGGCGGGGACAAAGTCTTAAGCTTGAGTACTTTAGGTGTCTGTTCAGTCATGATGAAGTATGAAGTGCGATAATGAACGAGGGGAAAATATATATCCAGGAAAAAACACGAAAAAAAATCACAATGTTTAAAAAAGTTAAAAAAAATAAGGCAATGATATATAAAAATCCCAAAAAGGAACAGACTCACAGTTGCAATTAGGTGTACCAGATCACGTCGGTTTCACCAATGATGATGTCACAGGTATTCAGTGTTTGACAACGCTTCTACCAGTAACACCTTCTAATATATTTCGTTCCCGCCCAGAGAAATCAAAAGACAGAGTCGAGGAGATCGGAAGAGTATATTTGGCGATGACCAATATATCGGAATTCTCTGATCTAATCTGGCTAGCGATTGCGGTTGATGTTGAGCACGGCGTTACCACACGTGATCTGGTGCGGATGCCTGACCGAGCGCCTTCAGCTAGGTGAGTCCACTAAAACATATGGTCAGCATCCAATGTCGAAAACTTAGTGCTATTTATTTTGGGGATTTATTTACCGCTACAACATCCTTACTTGGTTGTAAAGGGCCAAGCTTCCAACTCTACCTTAGAATTGCGTCTAATCCGAAAGCATATGCGTCAGAAGTTAGAGCAAAATTTCCGACTAGTGAATACAGTAAAAAATAAGCTTCGTGCCGTGGTTGATATACACGGGTAAAGTTCACACGATGCCATGCTCAGATCAAGCGTGTAACACCTAACTTGATTAGCTCAGTCCTATTTGTCGGGTTGTGTGATTAGTTTTATTATACGTTTGCTCGTAAATCTATTTCCTTGGCCGCTGATCCGTAGTCATCATTCTTTTGACCCGTAAATTTTCTAGGCATGTTGAACAATGAACAAACTCAACGGTCTAGGCACATTTCCGTACAATGCAGTACCGTATGCAGATGGAAATAGTTCACAATCGAATTACAATGTTTTTAGTCGCTATGACTGGACCATTCGTATTTAGATTACAAAATTTACGAATTTTTCATGTACAGTTTCCTTTATCGACTATTACAGATTATCTCGACTGTTTGTTTCAAAACGTTATCAGTATAGATTCAGAGTGGAAGAGTTTTTTATAATTTCATAGCATTCCTACTTAAACAAGAGACACAAGTTCGTAAAGCTTGTAAGCAGTTTCATTCTTGATACAAAATTCAAATAAGTAAAGGGAGTGGATGAACTTGAAGATGTCACGGACACAGTTATTCGGAACACTACTACCCAAAAATTTTTACATGATGATCTCAAAGCCATTTTAACCAGAAGTCGAGAATGTAGGGAAGAGATGATATATATGCATAATTTGCAATATGTCTGAGTATATACAACCTAAAATGACTAATTGTCGTAACAGATACGCAGCACAGCATATTGAAATATGATCTGGCGCAGATATATGACCAATCATCAGCATCCAGGGATGTGTCCAGTCAAACTAGCAAGGTCAGAATAAGTGTTGAAGACTTACTATTTATTCTGGGTATTTCAAACCATCAAAAATTTATACAGAACAGAAAAATCTATTTTCATATAGCAAATATAGGAACAGAACTTATTTAGCAAAAACCTTTTTGATTGAATATGGTCGGTAAAGATGACGGCCGAAACGAGTATATACATATCTCGGAGTTAAAAGTATCAGTTTTGATCTCTGTAATTAATTCTGACTCTTATGAGTTTAATCAAGGCGCTAAGGTTACTTTACCAAATACGGAGTCAGTCAGACATTCAATGAACCTAAGGGAAGTTCGTACTACAGACTACAGATCTGTATTTAAGTCATGGTGGATGTGGCGTTTGTGCTAATTAGCAATTCCCTTATACATTATCTCAAGTCTGGATCGAATTAATGAATACGATACTGTTGTACGTAATGAATGAATGCTGGTCCATTGGTGACTACCAGAGTACGAATGAATAGACTTGGAAAACACCACTATACTTTGATGCATTGAAGTAGATTTTGAATCATGAATTCCTCTTAGAAAGTCAAAGCGACTTCTGTTTGAAGTACTCTGAGACTTTGTTTACATTCAGCAATTACACATCATTTGTCATAACAGTATTGATAGAAACAATATTCACATCCATGTAATTAAAGAAGAAAATTTCAACGACTGGAAAAGTAGAGGGAGGAATTTGTACACGCCACTTTTCTAGCTTGAGATAAGTCACGCTAGCATTCAGGAGGTCTGGAAGTTAAATAATTAGTTGTCCACCAAAATTACATTTCGAATTTTGAGTTTGAAGCTGTAGAACAAAATCTTTTATTTTTTGATTCAGAGAGCATGCTGATCTATTGAGTTGTTCTTTTTCACATATTTTAAATTATATCATATGAACACTCAGTAAGCAACCGTTTTAGTTTTCTTACACAAAGATAAAATGGGCTTGTCAGCAAATATGGGGTTATTTAAACCAGTTATGAGATTCTCTTCCTGTGGACATTAGAAAATGAGTGGCAAATTTATCATTCTAGAGTTTACGTGGTCAGCAATAAGAGTCAAGGTAAGAGTCTAGATAATGTTCAACTACTCGTGATGATGCACCGATAATCAGTTTTCTAATGTCATTAGAATCTATGATTGGCGTAAAATCAATTACAGTTATGAAGTGATATTGCAAAATAGCAATGATGGTATCATGCAATAGCACATCAACATGACACAACGATAAAAAATAAAGAAGTCCCAAATTTAAAGTTAATAGTATAGTCTGTGTTATGGTGTAGTCAAAAATTGAGACAGACAATAACGCAACACTTAAATTATATGACAATTGAAATAGTTATTTACCGCGAATTCCACTTGCCACATAAGTTTATCCCGATTATGCTACTGCTTTCAGAGACCCCAAAACCATTGAATTTTGAAATAAATATAACTCACATGGATTTGAACTACTCAACAATAAACCGATTTGTGAAACCGTTGAACACCCAATTTTCATAAATTTAATTTTAAACTCATCAGTCCAATCGGATCGATAATTGATTAGAATACATAGTTTATTTAAGATACTAAATGTTCTATCAGCGTACTGTGAATTTTATGTGCAACTTAGTAGACTAATCTTCTTTACATGAAAGTGACTTACTCAGTTCAAACTGATCAGCCTATTTCGATTTTACAATACTTAGAGCCCTTAAAATTTTAACGAATGAGCCTTTAATCCTACCATCGCTACAGTGGCGTCAGTATTTTGAATCTTTAATCGTTTCGATCAAAAGATAAAGTGACTGAGATGAACAAAGTGGTAATTTCTGACGGAAATAATCCTCAATTCCGACCAAAAAGGTTTCACAGGGTAGAAAAACGCATAAATTTACCAGATATGAGAATATACACCATGAAATTAAAGCCACTATTTACTGTACTGGATTACTATTACAATTACTGTATACTTTAAATGCTTTATTGTTGTGTATTTTTCTTTGTGAAAAATTATAAGAATATAAAGTTTTTCTGGCCTGGGACCCAAACTTCTTCATCTCATGTTGTTTTTCTAATTGTTTTATATATATAATGGTAATTAGCCAGATCTCTAGTTGATTCAGTCTACTCTACTTTTAATGGGAGAATGTATCCATGTTATTTAAAAATGTATGACTCAATAAGGGAGTATAATGGTAATCTTTAGTAATCTCAATACCGGAGAATTAGAAAATATTCGTTAGTGTAGAAATAAAAGAATCTTTAATCTTCAAAATCAAGTAACAAAGAACATTTATCTAGAATTTGTGCACTGATAGATTTTCAATACAGAAGTTAGTTTGATAAAAATATTGACCTGTTAAATATGATATAAACAGTATAAGATCACTTTTGATTAACTAAGTTGGTATCAAAATGTTAAGATACTACAGCGTGTTTTTAACTCCAGTGATTTTTGAAAATAATCAACTCACTTTCCCTTCCTCTTATATTTATTTTATCGTTAGTTACTATTTTTAGCAAGTGCAACAATTAAACCGATGCATTTTGCACCAGATTTTACTCTCCTAAATGACTTTATCAATTAGAGAATAGAATTTAAGACAAATTGTATTAAAACGAATTAAAATAGCACAATTTTATTGATTATTACTTTCGAAGCAATTTTGTTTCTTTATATACATCTTGAAAATATTTTAGACAAATCAATGTTCTATAAGTTGTTCGAATTTCTTTCTGTATTAATCTAATATCATCTGATTGAATATTAGGAAATGATAAAATATCTTTTTGATATGTGGATCTATTATCATTTTCATTTGTGTTCATTTTAGATAAAGATTGTAATAAATAATCTAAAAACACATTAATTGTTGATGTCATATCCAGAAATGTGTGAAAACGTCCATTAGTTAAATTTGATAATTTTTTCAGAAATAATAAAGCAGTTCTAAAAGAAAGTAATTGAACAAATAAAAATGAAAGATGATAAACGAACTGATTTAAACAAAATACCGCTTAAAATGTTTCTTTTTCTCTTTTTTTCCAAATCAGCTTATCCTAATTGATAATTAAGAATAACCGCGTATACACGGCAATCAACTTTCGGTTTGAGGCTTCATATCATTCGATTGCTAAATCTAGAACAATCGCATTACTAATGTTTGTTCCAAACATTGTTAATGGGACTTCTTTACTACAGGATATGTCAAGATACTTTACACGACATAGGGGATTTATAGTAAGATAATTCATTCCTATCTTGAGTAGTTTCCTTAGTGAAGATTTTTTATGGGTTTTGGATATATTAGGTCAATTAGTTATTTGAACTAACGAAATGGTACTACGATTTACTTTCCTCGAAATCGTGAGCCGATCAGTACTAGACCACCATTGAAAACTTTAAAGCATTGGAAAATCGCTTCGTTTTAGTATGAGACTCTAATCCTTTCAGGTTTTCAAAAGTTGTCTAACATTGATTGGTTCATGATTTCATTGAAAATCAACATTCTTCACAACCCTATACTTAAAATTTATCTTCTACTAACTAGTTGTTTGTGTCGCAATCACACTTTCATACCTACGTATATTTCTTTAGTTTGATCATTGTATTGTTATACCAAATCTTTGCTGCTGAATAAGTGCAATATATATATACATATACAGCAACACCAAAGTGACTATTCATTTAAATTATCTAAGTAATGAGTAATTTTCCTTAATTTCCTGTATTTTTTTACTAAATCCGTCTTAATCTCAACTCTTTTTCGTTTCGTTAGGCATGCAAAGTTAACTAAGTGTATTACTTATTGAAAATAGATGTGACAGGCCTTGGTTACACTTAGTTGACTATAGTCAAGGAACTTTGTAACCAATACTCTTCGGTAACTTCATGCACATATCGACAGAAGCTAGGAACTCAATAAATGATCATTCCCATATTTCCTTAAACAAAATATAGAATCTACTGAGGAAGAATGTGTACACATAATATAAACTTACTGATCATTTGTATAAGAGATTGTGTGTATTGGTGGACATTTGTGTAATTGTACCAATTTAGAAGCTTTTGTATGTTTGATTTTATCCTTTTTACTTGTTGTGCTATTTAACGTTTTAGAGGTTCTGGCTATTTTTGTATTCTGTGAGTCAACATTACTGTCAGGAGTGAGGTTCCAAACTTCATTAATATTTTCAATCAATGAAGAACAGCTAACATCCGGTTTACCGTCTGTAATTAAATATATCCCTTTACTCATTTCATTGAAGTTTACATCATGCATTTCTTTGATATTTGATGAATTCATAATTTGTAAATGATTTAAACCACACAGAATTGCTTCACCGGTACACGTACCACCCGTAGCCTTCAGTTGATCAATCCATGCAATAGCATCATGACAATATATTTCATCTGCCATTACTACACCGGAAGCCTGCCACTCAAGTAATGTACTACTAAAACTAACCATATTGAAAAACACCTTGTTCCTATAAACAAGTGAATTTAAATGTGATAAATTATATTTTCCTGCCTTTAAGTTAATACAATTCAACCAGCAAAATGATAATTTACACTAATTCATATTTGAAAAATCTAAGTTCTATAGGTTATGTTTACTTAAAGTGTTATTCTAAAGGGAATTTTATGTATTTAATGATCAGCTACAATGTCATAGACTTCTAAGGAAATATGAACTGCAAACTAATACACAAAATTTTTAGGGAAAGTTATTTCAGTCAGTTAGTTATTTATGAACAGTGTCAAAACTCGTAGAATTGTGTATCGGACCAATTCAACATGGGACATTAGGACACAGATATGAAATTAGCAAGATGGATGAGCAAGGCGATGAAATAATAGTATTATTAGTAGTAGTAGTAAAAATGATACGGTCAGAAAATAAAAATAGGTTCTCATTCATTCATCCAAGTGGCAGTCAAATCACACGTCATTAAAGGGCATTAGATGGTATTAATACTTAGGATGTAAAAATAAAAATAAACAGAATCAGTTCATCTACATCATCTCAGTCTATTCTGAGGAATATCATCTATCATCTCTAACGGTTGATCTGGGTTATCACTTTGAACCTTACTCTGAAGCTGTTTACTTTTCTAGACGTTTTAAATCCACGACTAAGGACTTCATAGACTGATCCCATTTCTTTGTTTGGTTGCTCATTTGCTCATTCCAATCTACCTCTAAACCAATAACTATTACTCTATTTTCTAAGCTTATAAAAAGTTCAAATACTAGTATTACATATACCAATATAAGAGGGCATGTTTCTCACATAAACGACTCAATATGAAATGTCTTTAGAATTTCGAGGAATGCAATAAAAAATGAGTAATTATTAGAATCGGATTGTGGAAGATAGTGAATGCTAATGAGATCACGAACCGATCTAGATTCGATAAGCAGCAGTCTACCTCTACGACCGTGATACTGTAGATAGATTTGAGGACCTTCGTTCTTTCACACGAACGCTTACACTCAAGACCACTACGCCATGATGAAGTGATATAAAAGTCTGACTTTAATTATCCCACGATATTGTACAACCATTACCCATTGCCTTCAGTGACTCCCCTTCTTGTGTGAGAGATCAAAGGTTCTCGCTTTGATCCACGAAGGCAATGTCATGGATGACCACTCCTGAGGAGTCCCATACAAAGAATAAAAAGCTATCTAGTGCTGCTTGATTTTCAATGGTTTTCTAATTTCTATCTCTTAGTGATTCCAAAAGTATAAATAATTACACAGAGAAAGTTACAATTTTAATTAATAATCCTATGGTCAAATGAATCAGCTTAACAATTTCAAAAATTCATGAGACTAAACCTAACTACTAATTCGATCCGATACTAGTTGTAGAGTTACTGAAAGTTTAAAAAATATTTTAGGTTTTTAAGCTCTAATATCTATTGGTATGCACATCGACCTGAGATGGGATATAACTAAAAACTTGCTAGTCTTGCAGCTTATTTGATATTATATAATCCACTCACTCGGATCCTAATGGTTGACAGACACTGTGATAAACCCAATTAATACTTAGAAATTGTAGTTATGATGTCAGAAAAAGATATTAATGAAACTTACTTGTGTAATTGTTCCCATATTAAAAGCTTCAGATACGTTTTTATTTCATTCAAATGAGCATCCATTGAGCCAGATGTATCAATCAAAATGACTATACATTCTTCACATATAAGACCAAAATACTTCCTCGATCCTGTAGTTAACCATTCATAACGTTTGACATAACGTTTTAATGCTTTAACAACCTAGATAACGTTTTGTATTTGTTTTGAGAATAGCCATAAAAAAGGAAATCTATGACCAGTAAGGGTGCATAAACAATTTTTGTGAACATGAAAGCAGAGCACATAATGTATTTTAACTAATTTGCAAACTTCATGAATGTATCATCATTTCATTTTTTTAAAGAGTACTAGTACAGTTAGATGAGTTTTAACAACTTTCATAATAAGAAAGCTGCACGGTACCTTTTGTAACTCACCATTCTCTTGAATTTACTATGTTATTTAATGTTATCTCTTCTGGATTTTATTTTAAGCCGCTTTGTGCACTGGACTGTCATTCAGTAAACAATATATTTGAACCTATAACAACCAACCATAACTTGGATAGGTAGATACACAGTTCGTTTGTAATCTTATGTTTATTTTGTCGGATTTAGTTATTTTATCATAAATCTCTGGGATCTAATTACATTCAACTAGTGAAGACAAAGGAGAAAAGACTGTCATCTCTAAATTCCATTGTAAATGACCAAATAATTGTAATTGTACATTTATGCGGATCAATAATTTTAATGAATTTCATGTTCTTAATATTGTTTAGGGTTTTAGTGGTTATCTTTATTGTCTAAATTAGGTTGTTTTGGTAAGTGTATCTGGAGATGAGATAATAAATGTATTCTGGCAATCGTCAATAAAACTAATTTAAAATATTTTAGAAATAAACTTTGTATTAATGATTGAGGTAAATCTAAATTATTCATCTAAATGATTACAGAATACGCCACCTAGTTATTAAATCTGAAATGAATTTATCTATTTGTTGACATAAATCTATTTACAGAATATATATGATCTACTTTAGTCTTCTGTTTCTTTTATAATTCAGTAATATGTTGATTCTTCCGGTCTTGGAAACCTGTTTCTTGAAATTGCCTAAACTGCAGTAAATCTCAGTATACATTTTTCTAGACTTACCAAACGAGAATCAAAAGACTGTGTTGGCCTCTTGGAATAGCTGTGAATGAAAATATGTAAATAATAAGGGGTTCTACAACAATGAATGACTTTGCTGATATCAAAAACCAATCCGTTTTCGATAATTATTGAAAACTTGGGAGTTTTGGACAGCCGCTTTATTCTTGGCAATGTGCTCCCACAAATCGACTATTGGGAACCTTTGGTCTCGCAAGTGAAAGCTTAACCTTTGAACCGTGGAGCCTGTGTCCAATGATGTATAAGTCTAACTTCAATAAATTTACTATACTGAGCTATCATCTGTTGTCTTCGATGGGCAAGTAACTTCCTCACACCCAATGATTAGTTAATGTGAGACCCACATCCAAGGTTATGACCTCAACAACAAAATTCATATGACAACCCATACCGGCAAAACACGAAAGTTCAATATGGTCGAATAGGTAGAATATATATCAACTAATAAAGCGGTTAGTTTAACCAATAAAGTACGGAGAAGAAAGTAAGTCCTAGTTACCGATAAGTGGTATGGTCATTATACATAAATCTCATAGATATAGTCCCAAAAAAAAACACAAATTAAACTGATTACTTGAAAACATACGCGGTTCACTTAAAGTGTTATAAAAGCAAAATTTCCAGGTAGTTTTAAAATAGCTAACTTTATTTCTAAGTGAATCCATTTAAATTTATTGTTTAAGTTTCAAAATTATGTTTTCCTGTGGTCAGATATGAGAAAGTTTGGGATCAGGGAATAATGGATAACATTGTGACATTTATAACAATGAATCCTGAATCCTAGTCACAATTAAAACAGCAAAACTTATGACTAGAACAGTCCTAAATAGAACGGAATGTACCTCTTGTCACTCACTGTTGATCACCAGGAAATATAATCAACTGATTAACCGAGTTATTTCATTATATAAATATTATTATATTTTCGTTGATATGTTATTTTAAACCTATTTAGTATGGGGATGAAAATTAATGAAGATTTTCAAGTCTCTTAATGATACTCTGCAAATTTTACAATGATTTTTCTCGTGATGATAACTGTAAATGTTTTGGAAAAATTCCAATTCATGTCGTTTTAATAGTATTCTACAAAACTATTAAACTAGTTTTTTGAGTAAAATGGCTATATGAATCATTTTGTTGTTGTTATTACACGACGAACTGACGTAATTTAGAGAACTATCGGATACATTGTGTAATTCTTTCAAGTAGCATTTGGTTCATTCAATAGTACAACGTTTTTACAAGAAGGAATTCTCAGCATTATTTATGAGGTGTTGCAACTAGTTTCTGTTGAACACATTTAAGTTGTAGTTATTCGATAAAAAATGTTTTTTAATAGTCAGTATGCCACTTATCTTGGGTCTACAAATTCTTCCACCGGTTTTTCTGGTAAAACTACTTTTGATTCATAAGATATTGAATGCATAAATTCCAATATAACTGTCATTCGTACCTCGAAATAACAGATTGGGAGGAAAATATGCTAAAGACTGTGATGTTTATGTTCCACTTTACCATTAAATAACATCTCAATAAGTTGTAAGCTATTCATGAAAATACGTCAATATATACGGTAAGTATTCAAAACTATTTGGTTAAAGCAAATCTAAAATAGGATAGTTTATTCTAGAATCTGTACAAATGGAAACTATGTACTCCAAACGTTTGCATTATTAAAAAGTTCTAGACTCGAAAGAAACATTCCTTCAGTGTTCTTTAGTTTTTAGTGGTTCTTCAGATAATGTCTATTCACTATGAAGATTATTTCCAATAACCATGTTTTCCATAAAAATCAATTGCGAGTATTTAATCATAATTTCAAGATGTGTGTATCATGTGTCAGCTATTTGATCACAAGAATTACAACAGAAAACATTATAATTTTTATTCCTTGTTTAAACTATCTTGGATTTTATAAAGATAATTAATGGTGACAAATAAATAAATAAAGATCTAATTCTCGATAATAAATATATAATTAAGAAGTCAGGTACGTTGTATGAAAAATTAACTTCACATTGCATATTTTATCCTCTCCTTTTTATAATAATAAGATACGTTAAGTTTCATGTACATCAATATTTACTAGTTTTATGTTAACAGAGAATCATTAAAAATTATTTCTTATCTTGATGGATTTGTGTATTGCTTTACTTTAACTTATAAAAGTTAACTTTCTACCGGTTACCTAGAGAAGTCTAGTTGACCTTAATTTTTTTTTATAATTTTAAACTAGAGTTTAATCAATGGAAGTCAACCTTTTCAGCAAGCAGATTTACGACTACTGATAAACTAAAGGAAATGATCGGAACAGCGAAATAACTGTACAAAAAGTTGCTCCTATCTGTGAAACGTTTAGGGATTTGTAGTGTTTTTTTTAAATGGCAATTGTCCTCACAGCTTATAATCAAATATCATACTGAGGTTGGTATAATAGACTGATTTTATCTAGAAAACTATGGAAAACTAGGGAGTACAAGACAGTTCTTGTGTCCAAGTTTAGGATTCATCAACAGTGCTCACCCATAATACAACATGAAATCCCACCCACGATCTTCAGAAGTCGCCGCGAGAATGTGATTTTCCGGTCGCCGTGTTAAAATCTTTGTAAACCACCTGATTAAACATCTTACAGCTTAAAAGAAATAATTCTTTGCATATATATATATATATATATATATATATATATATATATATATATATATATATATATATATATATATAAAACTGACCTCTTGTTCAAAAGCTTCTAGTTCGTCCAAGGTAAACTGAAGATGTCTAAGAGTTCCAGCCACATTTACAAGAGGAAACAACCCGCTACAATAGCGTGCATGAACCATTGTTCGAGTGGAGTTAACAAAAGACATTTCATGTTTACAATCCATTCCAGATGTGAGACGCGTCAAATTAAGTCCCAAACTACGAATACTGTATTTACGTAGCCATTCACGACTCGTAAGCTTTCCAAAATTAACGAAACAAATAAAAATATAGACTGACTTGTGAACTTATCTTATTCAACTAGTACAATTAGTACATACTGGTTTTGATGAAAAATAACCATAAGAAAATCAGAATATGAACAAATCCATTTTCGTGTGTAACATTGAAAGGAGTATGAATCTTGTGATAATTCAATATTAATGAGAACCTTAGGCAAATTAGCTTGATAGCTATTCAGTAATATTTTTTTTCTTTTTTATATGGTTTCAGTAATTTAAAGAAATCTGTTAAAAAAAGGATATTATATAGATTGTAATACTTCAATGAGGTATGTCCTAGATTAGAATGACTTTGGAGAGAACGAATAAAAACAGCTATAATAAAAGCTGATTTTATATATATAGAGATAGAGACGAATTAGAAAGCGGCACCCATCATTTCAAACTGTAAAGAGGAATTTACTAGACTATTGAGTTGCGATCGCCATTACTTGTTCAGAGGATATTTCGTCAAGGAATTATGTTTATTAATCAATTGGTACCTGCTTTCGCTTAAAACTTTACACAAAAATATAGAAGTGTAAACTCCAATGATTCACAAATCTACGGAAAGAGCAGCCCATGATAAATATAAAAAAAGCGATTTCAATAATATCTAGGTTAATAAGCCATGAATCCTGACTTAAACCCAATGGAACAGTGTGTAAGTAAAGGTTTGTGTCCTCAGTTTTGATGAATATTCAAGGCATAGTGGTCAGAAATATGAACTAGGCATACGAACTGAAGTTAATGGTGTTGGTTGCTCATATGTGACCTAATAAACCTCAACTATGAAATCAGGATAGTTGGGGTTAAGCATCTACTCAAGTAAACATAGCTGGATTGTAATCTGAAATTAGAATTAATGCATGACAATTAAATGTTTAGTTAACCAAGCTGAAAATTATGGTGTATAAAACCATAATCAATATTTTTGCAGTTCGAAATATTTGGGATTGTGTTTCATGTCTTGGAAATCAATACTAACCTTTTAATATGGATTGCATGATGTTTATGCTCAGTTATTTAATGGGGTGGTATTGTTTCAGTGACTGTATTCGAACATAATGATAAAATAGTTCAGAAGTTCAAATTTTATCATCAACTAGATAACTCTCAGTATTGTATCAGCTAGTTCTTAGAAGTACTGACTTTGAGGCAGTATGCTGTAGAATCACTTGAAGCTAAACAATAGACTTATTTCTCTACTGATATATGGACAAAACCGTCATCAAAGCTGTGACAATGAAAGGAAATAAATTTGTAAGTAGCGTATTTCTAGGAAGTAGACTAAAAATAACTAGGACAGCATTGGCAAGTAGAATTTGCTACAAACCATTTATATATGAAGGAATTTTACTAACTATCGAGTAAAAAAGTAACTACTACCAAACTGTGATAGTAAAAGGATTCTAACTCATATATAGTCATATATACTCATATATAGCAACTGTTCAAAAGTACATACTCTTTCTTCATCTGTAGGTATTTGACAGTTGAATCGTTTAATTTGAATTGGTTTTACTAAGATATTAGATTTTTTTCTTCCAGAAACTTTACTTTTCATTGGATTAGATCGTACCCTATCAGTGTTATTGATCTCTTGATACCATGTCAAAGCTTTTGAATGTGAATCATTATCAGTGGTAATACTTTTCATTTTTGCGTCAATAGCTTCTTTCCTAGCCAATGTTAATAAGTTTAAACGCGGTTCAATTTGATTTGAAGGATCCCACCCACCCATTAATTGATTAGCCGTACTGCTACTCTTTGAAACTATGCTTTTATCAGACTTATTCCAATTAACTCTAAATATTTCGATATTTTTTAAAGAAAAAAAAGCATCCGATCATTAAAAATTACATTAACATAAAAGTAAACGGAAGTTGAATCGTTGGCTTAAAGTAAATGTGTTTTTGAATGCTTCAGAAATAGAATGTTGGTTTTATGGTTTATCAGCTGTATTTGTGGTAGCTTGAGGCTGTGGGAATTTAGTTACAGATATTATAGCGGACCAAGTAAACAATGTTTATGGAAAATTAGAAGTAACCATTGTAGAATCCAATTTATTATTTATAAGTAATTTTGATTCAACAAGAATTTGTTAGTGTAACTGTATTTTTAGGACGGATTAAAAATATGGAACGGGAATATCTTATTTCAGAGCACAAGATTTACAGTTATCACTGAGTATTAATTGATATCATATTGTCTAACTTTTACTGATAATAGAATTGCTCCAGTCAATTTTCAATATTACAACCAGTTTATGTAACTAGACCACGATATGAACTTCCCTTGATGATAGGTGTTTCGAAACGATTGACAGGAAGCCCAGAGCTTAGATTACATACTAGGAATAAGAACTAGGCAAGAGAACATTAATTTTCGAAAAATAAGAGATTAAATTAAATATCTCAATCTCATAGCTGGCTAGTAGATACTTGTATGGCTAGCTGATGATTTCTCCATGGTACTGGAAGACGTGGGTTTGATTCTAACAGAGTGAATCAGTCTCTTCTGGATTGTAGGGGATTTTCACGAACAGGTGCACACTATCACGAAATCTAGATCTAGATCTTCTAAAGATCATTTTGAACCATCTATTATCAAGCACAAAGTCCAATTATTTTAACCTTTTCTTTATCCCATTTATATTTAGTTAATTTATTCTGTTATAAACCCAAATTCAACTAACAAATGATCCAAACACTTGTAAAATAACATTTACAGGCTTTACGGTACAAACTGACCATGATTATCTAAAATGCAATTCATTGAACAATTTAGAGTGATTTAATATATATTCTATTGCTCAATTTTTTATACTGTATCACCAGGGATCTGAAGAGTTTAGGTTTAATGGGCCGTGGGTACCCATTTTAGAGGAGTTTTATAGTGTCATTTAACGGGTGTCCAGTGCTCCCAATTTGTCACTGGTTACTTAGCTAATGTTATTCCATAATGAAATCAATCCCGAGTAAAATCACTCCCCGTAAATCTCTCAACTAAAAGATTATTTATTTAATAGAAAGATAATGTCATAATTATCGTTGTGCTAAGAAACAAAACCACCTAATGAAGTTCATGTCAAAAATTACTAACTATTTATTCCCAGTCTGGATGTATGTCAACCTTCTTTGTTAGCCCCTAATAATATCACGAGAAGTATATTGTGTTCCAATGTTCTATTTCAAAATTATTTTATTCCCTCATTCTATTCCTTGGTTTTTACGATATTCTCTTCAATTAGTAGTTTTTTTACTCTTATTTTTCATGAGAAGCTGTTACTCATTCTCTTTTTAATAATTCATATCATTGACCACTTATTTTTAAAATGTATCTTTTGATTTATTCAGACTCAACTTACTCTGATCCGACTCGTTTATCTGTGATTGATGCTACAAGTAACTGAGCTTGTTTTGAATAGCTGACTGCTTCGTCTATTTCGTCCAACAGAACGCGAACATCATCACTTTCTATGATACCATTCTCACGAAACCAATGAAAACGTCCATTTGGGGTTGAATGAGCTATTTCACTAAAGGAAGTTGTATGATAAAATATGAAATAATAATACAGAAAATTAAAATAATCCATATAATCAAGATGGATTCTTTATAAATAAAATATTGTGCGCAATTAAAATCTAATGTTCAAAAAATGAAGGTATGAGATGCTAAATTAATACATCCTATCATCAATATTCAAAGTTAGTTTGAAATTGTATGTTATAACCTAGTATAGTTAACCTGGTGTAAGTTAATTATCTCAGCTTATTGCTTTAATGATAGCAGACACTCTAATATGGCTTTTCCTACACTCCATGTTGTTTAATCTCAATGACTATTTGAACAGTTTCAATTAAAACAGTATGTATACTCGTTTTACTCTTTCAAACATCTTTGTTGATAATCAGTTCAAAAATTACACTTGAAGAAATGGATTTTCCCATGCACTGGAATAATAAAGTCTTTCATATAGGAAAGTATTGAGTTTCTAACCTGCCACGAAAAATACTGAATGAGCTGCTGGGATCACCAGCATATGTATTGAGGACCCTGAGCTTTATTGATCGACAATAGTGTTTTAAGTTCAGCTTGGTTATCGAGATTGTCTCAGGATCTTCATGAGCAATGTCTGGAGTTTTAGCATTAAATGCCTAGCCAGGGCTTTTCGTTCTAGTAAGAGGATAGGAAAATTAGAGAGACGGTAATTAACTAGCTGGATATCAATCCAAAATAACCTTAATTAATAAGTTGAAATTTTCAAAGGCTGATGAATGGAGTAAAGAAAACTTGTTAGTTATAGTTGTCGAATCAGCGACCCTCGGTTTATCAGCCTGGTCTAACATTCAAGACTTGTTTGTTAACTGGGTTTGGATCTTATCTCAGTCAATAATTTAATCTATCAACCTAGTATGGAAATCATCCCTAGTTTTCACTTCTCATACACATTTTGCTCTCTAAAAAGTTAAAATTATCCAAAAATGGGCATTTAATTTTATACAACCAGTGAATTTGAAGGAATGATGAAACATCATAGAGTAAAAGCTCTCATGCAGATTTTTGTTGACTTTTTGATATACGGAGAAGAATTCTGTTCCAGTTTTGAGTGCGAATGCAGAAAGGTTTCTTACCGTGAAAAGATTTGTTGATTAAATCCGTTTTATTATTAATGATTATCCGGATAATTTTAGTTTGAGATTAAAATAACTTTCAGGCGTTTTACTTAAAAATGAAGAAAGTTTCAATTATCTTTCTATTGACCTTCCTACATGGCAGTTAAAGTTACATAGAATGACAAGTTAACAACATATTAAACGGCAGTAATCTCCGATTTACCGTAAAGAATTTGCAGTTTCTGTAATGTTTGCATAACGACATGGAAAGTGTTTATCTGTAATGGTATTGTCCACATGGTATAATGCCACATGTACATGAGTATTTAAAAACGTACAACGTTTAGCTTCCAAATAAGATGAAATCACTTCACTATCCTGATCAGGTATACCTGATGTAAATATATAAATTCCTAAATGTAATTCAAACAAATCTTTTTCTGACTGACTTTCAAACACTAATCTACGAATACAACAATAACAATAAAAAATAACAAATAAAAGGGTTATTTTATTAGCTACTCTAGACATAAATGATGATGGGATTCGACAAAACGATGATATAATGATACGGCTAAAACTAGTTATCTACATTATTAGTAAAACAGACTAAGTATTATTTCTAACTATCACAAAAACAGAGAATATATTGCTATGTTATTTCCATCAAACTACGTCCTTGATACAGTTAAATAAAACAATAAATATCTCTGGCTTACTTTCCAATTTTCTTCCATGCTAGCTATCATGGTATTCCTGGATGTTGACTCTACCAAGCAACCGGGCTACACATACCAAATGATCTACAGATGTTAACTGAAGTGATGTTTTAGTGTTGACTGAAGTTTTTCGAAAAATAATAATACCATTTTAACTAAGTTCTTTGATAGTGCGTTCGAATTTGTTTCATATCAAACGTCTGGGTTCAGTTAGTAGAAATTTACTGAACTGGATTTTGAGCTTCGATCCTGTATTTATGGATGAATTTATTTCAGTTTCTTAATGAAAACAGGTTCCGTCTCATTGGAGAGCGGCTATTCGGTATACTCATAAAAGCATTACTTAGTGAAATTTATATTTGAAGTAATTTCAGTGATTGAAATTTCGTTCAGACACGTTTGCTGGACTAAACGTTGTAATTATTTCAATATCAATCTCTGAGGTTACTTCAAATATAATTTTTACGAATTAATATTCTCGGCACCTAATTTTTATAAACCTATTTTTTTAATCTTGACGAATATTCTTATGAAACATTACTCTGTTGTGATAAAGCACGCAAAGGAATCACCTGAACGTTTTGTTTCATACTTTCACGAATATTTGTCGTTCGTTAAAGAAAATAATAAATGTATCTTTTATATGATTCATTACTATTTAAATTTTTGTGCGTCATTGGTTAAATGGTTGTCTAGAAATCACTTGTTCTGGTAAAGAATGATAAACAATGTAACCGCATCTCTAAAAATAGATGACTGTAGATAAGATGGATATACTACTTATCAAGTTCTAAATTGAGCATTTAATTCAATAATGTAGTCAGATTGTGTCAGTTATTGAGCTTATGAATTCTCTTTTTACCCTTTATTTTACTTTATTCGTGTTGGTAGATATAAACTCATTTTCATCAACTTCGAGTGATGGATAAAATATCGCCAGATTGTGTCCATCAACAGAACATGTTTAAAATGGTAAGAAACATTTTTTGGGGTGATCACAATCCGTACTAATAAACAATAAACAACTCTCAGTGAAGATTAATCTAATTAGATAACAACTACTAATCAACATAGGCATGAACACATGCAGAAATTCTTCAGCAGACGATAATGATTATAAACTTTTGTTCCTTGATTCTGACTGTAGTAGATCAGATGGGATCGATCATTATTAATAAAATATCGTTAAAAACAATGATGAATTCTACAAGGTAGTTCTCTTGAACCAGTCAGGAAAGGGTAACGTGCTTATTCAGCATCGATAATATTGAGCAAAGATGGTGTGGAGTATTGAATTCCGACTTACTAACGTGCAAGTTATGAAAACCAAAGATACTAATTCATATCCCCAGTGTGTTTAAGTGAACCCCGGATGCGTAGCTATATACCAGGCTGTACGACTGTCTAATGTTCTCCGGTTTCCAACGGTTATTCAGCTGAAATCAATTAGTGACGAAATTCATCTTCAACGAGTATAATTTTCACTAGAAAATAAAAACGTTTTTTGTTTAATTATGCATTAATTATATCCGAATTGTATATACAAACCAACCTCAAAGCACTTAATAAATTACGACTGCCACTGCAATTGTGCATTTTAAACCAATCCCATGAAGCTTGTAAATTATTAGCATTCACATCAATTAAATTCGATTGATAAGCCTTAGAATCCGAACCAAATATCATTAAATTAAATTTCGATTTTGTTGAAATCTGTTCTTCGAGTAAATGACGTAGACAATAATGTATATGAACCATATAGATAGTATTATACCCTGATAAATCAATTAAAATTATTACGTTCGGTTCTATAAGGGTGCCAAAGTATCCACGACTTTTTTGAGTTAACCAATGAATTCGTTTTTCTAATAATCCAACCTTAGTTAAAATTAATAAAAACAAAACCAATAAGGGAGATAATATAAATGAGGTTTATGTATATTTAATGAATCTACCTAAATAGGAATTAATATAATATCAATCATTCGGCTTTGAATTTTTCTAATGATCGGTGTAAAATGTGAATATTTCACAGTAAATGTTTAATCGTAGTGATTAATGATTATTTGTTATCCAGCATGGTTTTCACATTGTTTGTATGTACTTTATTGTTCTTTGTTTCCGCTTACCTTTTAATTTGTCTACTTGACCTTTTGTTTTTCATATTAAAATGTTCTTGACAAGTATATGTGTGATCAAATTGTTCGAAATGTATTGCGCAATTATATAACCTTCATCTTCTCAATGCATTATCGAAGTTTATAAAAGGGATTAATTGTTTTAAATTGTTTTAATATATCAAAAGTGTTCATTGGATACAATATATTAGGAAAGTAATGCTCAAAAACAAAAATCCAAATAGAATTTGTCATGAGTCTAATTTAATTGATTGGTGTTTAACATAGTATAGTAGACTTGCGATAAAATGATAAAATATTGTACATTAAATTCGTGAGTCACAGAATATCGAAACCAATCATTATTCATTTTTGATGGTTAGTCAATAAGTAACCATAATACAGATCTTGTGTTTCCTGATATTCACTAGGAATTTGTATTTTCATTCATCAAGAGATCCCAATCTCAGAAATTTAAAAGCAGGTCATATAGTGTGACAGTCTGAACGTTATTTTTAGGCGGTATGTTTAAATAATCGTAACCAATCAACTACTTTTCGTGATTTTTAATAAATTTCTTTATTAAAAGTAGCTTAAGTCATTTTATTTTCTTTATTATCTAAATAAATTAAGGCCATTCTATGAACACTATCCTTAACTACTTTATATATGCATTTAGTGACCAAATTACCATCCTGTTAATAATTACGTCGGCTGACAAGCGAACAGCTTCAATATGAATTTCTTGATAATTCGTTAGGAAATGATTAGTAGTAGAATCAGTCATGTTGGGAGTAGGACAGTAACTCAACAATAATTCAGGTTGGAAATCGCGTTGCATAACGAGGTAAGTGGAGTTAGAAATATGACATACTGAACTCCGAATTAATGATTTAAAGATGTCTTGCATGTTACTGTTAACTCCTCTCTGATATCTGACGAAAAATTCAAATTGCAGTACCTATTTGTAAATCAATTTCGAAACTATAGTTGCTTTTCTGTTATAGATTTTATTCCAATTGAATGTTCCTGAATGTCGCATCAACTTTTTGTTTACATTGAAAAAAACCAAGTATGGTGAGAAATTTATAATGATATGATATATAATCAAGAGTTGGCTTAGATTAAAGTAACTGAAATCAGATTATAGGTTTATTTGTGTTATCCCTGCACACAAAATGGAGCAGTTTTCATTACTTACCAAATTTGTTATCTGTGTTTGGTATTTATATAATTCATTAGGATCAACATGGACATTTTTAATTGATCCATCAAGCCACCTAACTTGAACCATGCACTTTTCATGTATTTGAGCACTAACAGAGCGTTGAATTGATGGAACATAACCAACAACTTGTGAATATGCATTTGGTGCCAATATCTAATGATTAAAATGTAACAAATAAGATACATTTTAAGATCATATTGAAAATGTCTGAATAATGACTTGAAAATGTTAGATATTCATAGGATACACTCATCAAATTTACTGAGATTAAAATTCATCTTTTTGCTATGACTATTTTCGGAGGTGACCGCAATTGAAAGAACCTGAATAATCCTTAATAAGCGATTTAATTTGATGCTCATTGTAGTCAAGATAGGTAGTAAAGACTTATCTGCTTTATTAACATCAAGCCGTGAAATAAAAGTACTATGTATTATAAGATTCGTAATATGATAGATTTGTGGATAAAGTAAAATATAACAGAGCCCAAAGCAAACTATTCATCGAACTAACCATTTCTATGTTAGAGGACTGATCACTAGACGCTGGACTGCCTAACGAATATCATCAAGGTCAGGAATGACTAACGCTGATTAATTAATCTATATGATTTAAGTGACACACGCTGCATTCAGTTTTTTCTTGAACAATTCTACCCCTTTTGTGGCTTTATAAAATGTTTATGTGGTAAGATTTTGTCTCGAGGTAGGATAGCCTAGTTACCACATTACAGTAGGTCGTGCTAAGAAATTGCCGCACGGTGTGAATTCAACGTACGTTTACGTAAGTAACTAGTCACATCATCCCCGTACAGATCTAGTAAACTAAATATCTACAAATTGAAAAACAGCTTACCTGAAATAAATTTAGTTTACGAGCTTTCAGCCCATGTTTATGTAACCAAACTTGAGAAGAAGTTGGTTGGAATGGTTTCCATGGTCTACAACATTGTCTGGAATAAAGTAAAGGATCTGTTTACGAATTTTTGATATTTAATGAATACATACCTATGCAAATGATCCAACTGAAGTTTTCCATGCAGTAAACTTGTATCAGTCGGTTGAGGTAGGTAGTATACTGGTGAATTACACATTGCATTGGATACCATATTCACTTCATCTATAGCTTGCTGAGCAATCGTAGATGAGCTCTCCATTTCTTGTCTTAGATGACCAACAACTTCAAGAACTTTCTAGGAAGAAATAAAGTAAGAAAAGTATGATTTTATTATAAAAACAACAATAAGATTACCGCTCTATCCTCAATACAACTGAAACTGGTTCTTTGTGGTAACATTGCAGTGAACAAGAACACCAGAGGGGACAGTCGAATGTATTTAACACAACATTACAGGACTTGTTAATAAAATCCAACAATTATATAGTAAATGCTTAATTCGCAAAATGTCCATCAATTGTCTCAAAATGACTCAGACTTCATTGTTCTTGCATTTTCATACAAATTGCATTCTGTTTCCATTCTTTATTGTTCGATTCTCTTGTCTCTCTGCTGCCAGACATTCTGTTCATGACTAACGTCATATAATACTTATGTCTATATAAGAGGCACACACCACAACATGAACTAGATAGATACTGGTTAAAATGAAACTTGAAAATACAACCAAGTACAGATTGTGAGCGGCTCTATGTTATTATACAAGCTTGCAATCAAGAATGACTACGGGACAATGCAATAATGCGTGATAAATTTAGGTGTGAAATATTGAATTCTACACCTGTTAATTCAACTACCACTCTGTATAATCATCTACCAAATGAAATTCGATCATGGTCGGAAATTAAACTTGAAATGTACTCCTTATTTTCTGTAGTACCGTAGAATTCTGGATATTAGTATTGTTACACTATATTGGGAATTAAAATTTAACCCGTCTTACAATATTAAGTTTTTAAATAATAGTCTCAGACTGCTACCTTTTCTTGCTATTGATAAGTAACATGTGAAATTTTATTGCACGTGTATTACTTTACTGAAGTAGACTGACAATATTTAAGTAATGCTTGATAACTTTGTATGGTTGCTTTAAATTTATTTTTGTGAATATGGCAAGTTTCAGTGGGCTGCAGGTTCGTCAAGCTGAAGTTTTATAGATGCAAACGACCACAAAATAGAATTCGTACGTAACAGAAGTGCTGAAGCTTTTCAAAAGGGAACAATAAAATGTAGTATCTATACCGATAATTATCAAGAAAAAATCCTGAATATTAGAGTTAATGACCAAATGAATGAAGATTTTGTATAATGGTTTTCTTTGATAACTGTATATCAAACAGCATGGATTATTGAGAGTTCACTTCGATTTCAAACCACTGGCCAATAAGGATACCGTTTGATTAAGTGTATTTGCTTAAATACGTGATAACTATTAACCAGGACGTTTATTACTTGGTGATTTATTTGCATACAAATAGTGTAACTAATATTAGTTCCGATAAGTATCTGTGTTGTAGCATATGTACCTCTTTACGTTAGTTTGTTGAATTAAGAACATAAAAATATTCACTGACTTTGATTTTGGCTTATATCTGATAGTTTTTAGAACACTGAAAGGCGTCATAATGAATAGATACACGCTAATCTACAACATATCATTCATTGCAAAGCGTTAAGTTAAAAGATAGCAAGCATTCTGTTGCTCCAATCTCAGCACAGGTTCTAGAAAAAAGTAGTCACTATAAAAGGCATTTGAATGATGAGCGTACAATTTGCTTAATTAATCGAAACCTGTGTTGCATTATAATATTCCTGATTAGATGATGTTCATTTATATCCAGAAACAAAAGAATTCCAGTTTTTAAAAAAAACTAAGTTATGATTATAATCCAGTAGCTTATGAAATGAGAAAAATTAAGGAACAATAATTTAATGTTTAACACTAACCTGTGCATCATTTATCTCTTTCAGTAGACGAGCAATTTCATCACTTGTATACACAGCCGATTCATTCTCAGTTAAATAGCAATGGTAGATAAAATCATTTTTTATTGTGGCCAGTTGAGCTAACAATTGATTTACTTCAGGATTACGACAATCATAAGCAACTAAATGTAGTCGAGGTGATGTGAAACCAGCAAATATTTGCTCTAAATATTGTTGAATAAATATAGCAGGTTGATCTGGATAACTTCCACATATTATGATGATAACATCTAATTGTTTTCTACCAAACATAATCATCTAAACAATCATATAAATAAATAATACTGAGTTAAAACATGCCTATTTTGCTTTTCATGAGTTCTTGTACTAAAAGAATATATAAAGTCAAACTTACAGTTTATAGTACTCGTTTTGACTGTGTCTTTTGAACACGGAACTTTATCGAACAATCGATTCTAAAACATGTGTTATTATTAATAAAGTAAATTTTATTTGAAATTGAGCAATCCTATATAATCATGTAAATTTTTATACTAAAGTTTCTCATATATATGTAAATGTAAATGCCCATGGACTACATATTCATTTTGATCAAAAGCCTAACACATATTCGTTTCCTGGGAACTTCGTTCAAAACTCAGAATTAAATACAGAACATATATTGATTATCAAATTGGAATTGATTTCATATTTGATATTCATCGTTTTAGTCAGTCAATCAGTCATAATCCTGGAATACATATGCATCGTTTCATTTTTGGGAGTGACTGATGATTATCATTTTCAATATTAGTATTCAATATAGGCAAATATATAGTGTTTAATAAAGTATGTATCACTAGTTTGAAATTAGCCACCAAGTTTGATGAAGGAGAGTGTTTTCTTTAATCAAAACATAACATTTAGTAACAACCGTTAATTAAATAGAGAATTAAGAAATGCACTTACATGGTACAGAAAATAAAAATGTTGCACCTACTGATGTTACATTGGTCACTAAAGTATAAAATGTATGGGATCAAAATACTTCAGATGTATAAATATGCAGATGATTTGACTTTTTTTATTTACAAATTAACATATTACCTTCTGGCTCTACAGGAAAAATGTAAAGGGATTATGGAGACTGTTGAGTTAAATACGTTAACATCATAAGCTGACCTTGGTTAGGCAACCGCTGACAACCGAAATGCACTGGATAGCTGTTTCGTCCTAGCATGGGACTCCCTTGACGTGCGTGTCCACGACCTTACCCGGGATCGAACACAATACGTTCAGGTTTCCATGTGAGAACTTAACGTTTAGACTATTGAGTCTGTATTTATTAGTTTACACTCGTGACTGTAATCAATTGACGATGTTTTACAACCATCACTAAATGTCATTGGTGTTTAAATCCACTGATCAACGCTTCACACTAGAACTCCGGAAATCAGCTCCCGGCAAGATTCACCTGTGGTCACATCATTAAGTTACTTACTAATAAGGTTAGAAGATGGTTGTGAAACATTGCCAGTTGATTAAAGCTAGGAGTGTAAGATATTAAATTCAGACTCAGTAGTCTAGATGTTAAGTTCCCACAGTGGAACTTGAAGGTCGTGTGTTCGACTCGGATAGGGTCGTGAATAAGCACTGCTGAGAACTCCCATACTAAGACGAAACAGTTGTCCAGTACTGTTTGGTTGCCAGTGATTGTCTAAATATTATCAATTTGTGACGTAAGTTATGAAATTCTGCAGAATAATTCAAACAAGTACTTTAGAAATAGACGTTTATAAGATTAACCAATTCTCTCATAAGTATTTGAAAACAGTTCCAATATCAACAAAAAGATTTGACCATTTCACAAACTAGTATACTAAAATCATTATATTAATAGTGATTATACTGTTGGTATTTAATAAGTAAGACGTTTAGTGAACGTGACACATATAGTCCTTTATATACCATTTATTTAAAAGATGCGTTTATTCCAAACCAACAACCTTTTTAATTGACTGGCTGAAAATTAAATGTAGATAGGTTTGTGAGATAAGTTATATTTTAAAATTCAAAAGAAAATAAAGTTTCTGACATCACTCTAAGACGATCTCAGCAACTGTCGCTTAGTTATGGTATTAAGAGAAAGTATCAATCTTCCCTAGGCATAACTATATAGTTGAAAGTTATTAATTAAAATGTTAGAAAAGTTTAAATCAGTTAGCATGACTAAAAAAGCCAATCAACAAATTGTACAAAGTGATTCCATTTTTGCACAGCTTGGATATAAATCAATTATACCTTTAAACTACTGCAGTGTTTTTAAAAGAAAATCTTACATGTTTTATTCCACTCAACAAATTCGATCCACCCATTGGTATTAATTGTTCTCTAATAAAATACTTTAATTCATTTATAGCACGTGAATTTGCACACATTGGATATGGCCATAATGAATTAATATTTGTTCCATAACTAGCTACATATAATGTTTTTAGCCTGTCTGCAGTTATTTGTTCGTTGACTAATTCCATTAAATGTTCTTTAAATTGCTTATCTCTGTTGAAGCCCAGGTTTGCATCTGAACTATCCAACAGAAGACCAATATTTTCTCCACGAATTAAACCAAATATTTTCCTTGTATCCTACATATTACAAAATAAACAGTTAATAAACAGATAACTGACATATAGGTTTTCCATAAATTGACTCGAAGAGCAACACGAAAAGTTCAACACTCATGTTTTTGACAGTGATACTGAGTAACGCAGGTTTGGAACCTGAGTAGAACGTACATGAAAAAAGACTTTCCTTTAAAAAATTTAGATGCTTTTCGGTTGGATTAGGATGTGACTTGAAAGTCAGTCCCATGTAATCAAGAAACAATACGCAGGAGCAAGTAATAATTTAAAGTGATGATGCGATGTCAGAGAATCGATACTGATTCACAACTTCCGATACAAAACCCGGCTACTTGACTGCAAAGCAGAACAGAAAAGAAGAAAGTTTGTTTCACAAGCCGAGTCATATGTGTTTGTACTCATATATATATATATATATATATATATATATATATATATATATATATATAGAATGTCACTACTTGGCCGATAGAGAAAACCTACCATTTGGCAAGTTTCGATTAGCACAACATTTTAAGTATACAGGCTTATTTTGTTATTTTTTGATTCACTAGTGTAATGAGATGGTAAATGAATGCATAAATCTATCTGAATAAAACTATTTTATATCTTTACCATATATTTTTCAAACAATCAGTAACAATGCATTGTAGATACTGCACCAAAGAAAGCATACCTCCTTTGAATCAGGAGTAAGGTCCTAACATAATAATGCTGATATCTATCTTTTGTCATGTTTCTCATAGTCAGAAGCTAAATAGCGTATCAGAGCGAACAAGAATCAAGCATGTACAGTATGAAAATAAATTGCTACTATTAGAACGGCTTCAAAACCATATCGACTAAGTCATGGTTTCGATGAGATATTTTACCCAATCTCATTATGACTAGTTTAAGCGCTGAGGAGATGTTTAAAAACTGATGCTGATAGAACATTTGAAATATTCTGCTGTCATCTTCCAAATGTCGTCTCTCAAAGCACAAAAGAAAAAAGTGACATGATACTCTTCATGTACATATGATATCTTGTTTTGATAACTTTCTAATAAATTTTCCGTCAGTGACATGATATGGTAAGCCAGTCAGATGTAGCCTAACGAGAAGGTCAATTGATGACCTGAAGGACAAGTGCACTTCATTGGCTAAAAAGTGGAAAATCGCATGTTATCCCTCTTTTTTAGATATAACGTATTTACTTAGGGAGGCAAAGATCTTTAAATGACCTAAAATATGAGAAATTTTACTTAATGCATTTCCATACACACATTCGGTAGAAAGCGAATGTGAATTTCATCTTTAACTCTAGAGATGGCTATTTTTGTGAAATATGGCTAGTAAGAGACATACATTCATTGGCATTACACAACAATTTGGAAATAAAGTTAGAGTTAAGTGTTCAAACTGACAAATAAATGTACATTGTATCGTAGGATTGTAATGACTCGAAATGAGACTAATTTGATAAGGTTGTGACTTCAGATTAAATGTTGAGTACTGCTATTGGTACGACTGTTTACTGTGACAACGGAACAACTGCTACCTGTTACTTGTTTCAACAGAACGAACGAGACTAAATTCTTAACTCAAGGAAGAAAAATAGAATGTAGACACAAACTGGTTTGTTCACCATCCACTTATTAAACAGCATCTACGATAACCCTAACGATAATTATAAATTGCATATCATTTTAAATGTGTTGGTCAACCAATAAGTAGCAGGTAGCAGTTATTCCGTTGTCACAGTAAACGGTCATACCAATAGCAGTAATCAACATTTAATCTGAAGTCACAACCTCGGCAAGTCAGTTTTGTTTCAAGATATTGCGTAAATGACTAGTATAAAATGTCGTAGGATTGTTCGAAGTCTTCTGAAATAAAGAAAAGAGATTTTAAAAGCGGCAGTTACCTCCATCAACCATCTTATTCTGTTAGTATATGTGAAGATAGATTCGTGAAGTCCACATTCAAATTGATTAACTTGTTTTGAGTTATATTCGAGATGTGACGGGAGATTTTTTCTGAATCCATCCACAATTTGATTCAAAGTTAAATCTAAATTCGCTGTTATTTTAAAAATAAATTTAGAAATAATCTGTCTAAAGATACCTGATAATTCTTCCATTACACCGTCTGGAATTTTGCCCATAGCGATGAAATCATCGAGTGTTAATCGTTTCGCTTTTAAACCATAATTTTCTAACCATTCATTTGTAGACTGTTTAACTGATTCTTCAGCGCGAATATTTTTACTTTTAACTTCATTTAATTCGTAGTAATGATGCAGTTTTGTTCGCAAAAATTGGTCATCAGGTGAAGCAAAAGCATATAAATTCGCGTTGAATTTTGAATCCCACTTTGGTTTCTCTCTGCGTGGAGACGTACCTGGTACAGCACGATTCTTTAGATTTGCTTGGTCACGCAAAAATAAGGTTAGTCCCTCTGTCTGCAGTTAGAAAATTTATTAATAATTCATAGTCACCTATCAATAGACGTTTACCACCCAATTGATACGCTGTTAAAATTAAACTGGTGACTACGTAACACTACCTAAGAAGTGACATGTTTCATAATAATGATCAACGTTGTTGTTTTTATGAATGAATGTGCATAATTTTTTATCATATGATGAATAAATCCAGTTAATGAGGAGATATTTTTGAATGACTTTTATCACAGACTAGTTCAAGCTAAGAACCTGTTGAGAGACAAGGGTTCCTAAACAGTTGTTTGTATCACTTTTCATCAGTATTCAAACACGGCTGTGTGAAAGAGTGAATTGAAAACCGTCATTTATTGCGTTGAACGCGTTATCTTTAGATCAATGAAGTAAGTCCCGGTGATTCAATTTCTGAATTACGCTTTTTTGTGTCATCAAAACGACCGTTCATTTTCATAGATGACAACTGTTATATCCTAGTGAAGATTACATTAGGAGTAACGTCTTAGACCTATTAATGGACTAATATTATTTATATATTCTTACGGTATAAATATTCAGTAACTAGGTTATGTATATCTATATTCCCCTTGTTATAAGCTTTATCTTGACCTATATATTATTATTGTAAGGTTTACCGTTCTTAAGTTATGTTCAGTTTATTGACTACTGACTCCCACGTTCACAGCCACTTTTTTGGCTTGATTATGTACAAATGTTATTTCCTATTTTATGTTGCGTTGCGGTCTGTTTGTTTGGTATATAAACCCAGTATGTCCGAAATAAATAATTCTCATATTGGGGGCTGTTATTCGCATTCTGGACTCAGCTGAACGGGCTAGGCGAGCAACAAACCAATAGGGCGCTAGGCTGATCAGACCAGTCGAACGTCATTGGTTTAGTACAGTCTGAGAGCGAATAAGTCGTGTTTCGATTGGCGAATAGATTGCGTGATAACAAGCGGCTCATAAAGTCACAACAATAATGTTCTCATCTATGAGATAACTGAGACCCATTAGTCGTAGCTATTTGCCAAAACATCGGAAGTTTAATGGTTCACCAGCTGAATTCATGGGTAAAGAAAATCATTTCAAAACCTGGATGAAATCCATAACGAAAAGAGTAGATAGTAATGGTGTGATCGCTAATGACTACTTCTTCAAGGTAATACAGTATGTTTGTGATACAGACTATGGTATATGCTACTTATGTTTAACAATATAAGTAGTATGTAACAACAATCGGAAATGAAAAAACTGGCAGCGGAAGACCAAGAAAATACAGTAGAAAAGAATGGAAGGGCACATAGAAAGGAATTGTGAACCAGAAGAATCATACAGGATATGATGGATAGATGATTTAAATTTGTGAATGAAGTATTTAATGTATGGTTATCATATTTTACCGAAAGATTCTGTATTTTGTATGAAAAATGCATCGGTTTGTTCCCACTTGTGTTCTCGTTTATTACAAAGACACCCATTTGCGAGTAAATGTTACAAAGATTTATTGGACAGTATCCCATTGCAACTGAAATAAAATATTCTACAAATGTATATAAAGCAATGCTCATACATTCGCTTTACCGGAATTTCTCTAAAACCGATTATTTATGGCATTCTACTAGTGATATTTGACGCGAGATACTTTAAAACTGACCAATCAAAAAAATTAACCTTGACATTCCCATACAATGTCTGCCTTTTTTAACTATAAAGATGGCAAAAAACAGACTTGAATTAAACCGACATTATAAAATGAAACAGCAGTGTAGTATGCAGTGGGATGCTCACGACCTTCATATATCTTTTAACCTATTACATTTTCAGAAACATTTTTCGCGTATACAATTCTTAGTAAGTACTTGTCTATGGGTTTGTTTTGTAACTTTAAAAGTTTAAAATTAAGACACAAAGTTCAGCGAAATATATTAGAAAGGGAACAAGACCAATCAATTCCTTTTCTCGATGTACGTCTGATGAGAAAGAGTAATAGTTCTTTAAAAAGATCCATCTTTAGAAAACAAACATGAAATGGCCAGCTAACCAACTTCTATAGCTGGGTTCCGTTAAGTAGGAAGAGAAAACTCATCCATTCTTTATGTTATCGAATACATCAGATATGCAGTACGGAATGCATCAACGAAGAACTTGCATTCCTCAATAAAACTCTGACAGATAGTGGTTACTCGGAACGGTTCATATAAAAGAATATGAATAGAAGTAGTTATGACAAGAAATCTAGTTGTTCCGTTCCGAAGAAAAGCCTTTATGTAAGTCTGGAATCTGAAGGTGATCAAACAACAGACGTTATCAAAAATCGTCTAACAACACCCATTAGAAGAATATTTAACGCGGCTAAACTGCGAATAACCTTCACTAGTAGGAACTTATTTTCTGTATCCATAAAAGATAAGCTTCCGCGTCTGGTCGTCTCCACGTACATCTACCAGTTCACCTGCTCTTGTGAAGCAAGGTACATTGGCCGTAGCCAGCGCTCGCTTTCAACTCGGATACGGGAACATATCCCAGCTTGGTTCTATAAGGGTGAAAATAAAGCAGTGAGAAGTTCTATACTTGAACAACTAATCGACTATAAACATTCTACAGATCCACAAATTGATTTTAAGTTTGTTTATATGATTCGTTCAAATTTACCCAGATTTCTTCGTATCAAACTCTTAAAAATAGCCAAAGCTCTTACCATCCAGGAGCTTAAACCAGAACTATGCGTCTAAAAGAAATACGTCTTATCGTTATCGTTACCTTGGCCTTAATTATTTTGATTATCCTATTATTATTATTATTAATGCATTCCCCCTTTACTTATGCCCTATATTCTCATTGTTTTATTCGTAAATGCCCAACATATCACCTTATTATTTTTTACACCTCTATGACTTTAATTATTATGACAAAAACAGTTTATTCGTCTTATTATATTCACTAAATCTATTGCTATTATTCGTCTTACGTAATCTAGTATTATAACCATTTTTATTAACTGTGTTCACATTTCCTACCGGAATCAGTACTTTTACAAAAACAAAATTTTCATATATATACGATTGTACAGCTTGATAATAAATTCCTTGAAAAGAGATCCCTTCGCTGAACTTCATGTTTTAATTTTAAAAGTCTAATTAAAGTGGAGGGAGCATTAGAAATAATAATAAAAGTCGATGTTCAAAATGTTTACTGTCAAAAAATTTGTCTTGTTAATGGCTTAAGAGGTTTGACAGATTTATTAATAAGCGACTATTTTTCGATACATATTGATTAACTCAGACCAGCGTATCTAGACTGGTGAAAAAAAATTAGCTAGAACAGTAATCAGTCCCAACATATTTGTAATTTTCAACATTCTCAAGGATGGTGGTGGAAGAAACTTTTATTTTCATAATTTAAGCTAAATTATTTTAAATATATAGTCACTATGATTTTTTCCTGAGTTTTACCAATATAAGAACTATAGATATCAACTATTTTGCACCAACATTTACTAATATTGCATACTACATAGCTATAATAAACGGAATAGAAAACGATTTAACCACATTTTAAGTATTTGCTTTAAAACAAGATATTGTCTCTTTTGATTGAGTAATAAATTGCCGAAAAATCATGCAAGTTTATTCACAGTTATACAAGAAATGAATAGTTGGTTTGTGGTGTATTTTCCTAGAAACTTTCCTTACAAAAATAACATTATTAAGAAACAAATAAAAAGCATAAAACATCGTCGAAAAGACAAAGTTATTTAACAAACATAACCTGGGCTTCGGACATTAGACTTTCAGCGTAGTATTTATTGCTACTTGTTCTTCAAAAGTTGTCAAACTACAAAAGACAGAAATAAAAGCGTTTTATGTTACTTTAAGTGCTTTTGTTTAATATACTAAGGCAGAGATTAAAAATTAAAAATTTTAAAATATATTTAACACATAGGGAGCTCACCCGTTCAACTACTTACCAGAATTAACCATGTACTCTAGAACGGTTTGTACGAACTACATTATCAAAAAACTAATTATATTTCTCAAAAATCAGTCCAAATTTTATGTGAGGAGTGTAATTTTACCGCACATTTATGATCATTTTGACCTGACGAGACAAAACATAGAACTAATTTATTGTATCCTCATCAAGAAGCATACCGTAAGAGTAAGTAATTACCGCATTTGTAACTGAAAACTTAAGGTGAAATGGGACATTACAGAGGTTCATGTTGTTCTCAGTAATCACTTGCATGTATATGTATAAGTACATTGATAAACAAACATAGAGGCTTTTATATCTGACAGCTTCGGTTTATAATGACTGCACAAACGAAAAAGAAATTGGATTCATAGTTGTAGTAATAAATAAGACGTTTCTCAGAATACAGACTAATGTTGTTCACTGATGCCAAAACCAATGAACTTGGTTATAGGGTTTGTACTTCCCATGATAGTCTAGAATAGAAGTGAGTCACCTGACCAGTTAACACTAAATACTGTCTTAGTTTTGTCTTTTATCACTTTTCACACACACACACAGAGGGATTAAGATTTATTTGAAATAATTGGTAAATGACATAGGAGACTCAGAATCCAAAGACCTGTAGCATCATAAAATGACCTGTCTTTTGCTTAAATTGTCTAATCCCATCCTCAGTTTTCTCTCCCAAGTATTAAATTTTACCTCATTCAAAGTACCTTAGAGATGGAAGCACCTAAAAAATATCCATAATTTTCAACTTCATGGAACGTAACATCATGAATAACCACTACTTGCGCAGAAGAATTCATCTTTGGTTAAGATATTTTTTAAGCTTTCTAGCATTTGCAAATTCAAGAAATATTTAACAAAAAATAAATAGATCGACGTCGAAATTTGTAGTATGTCTGGTGCACAGATTTTGATTGTTAAGCGTTTGAAGGCTACTTTTGAGATCTTAAATGAAAACTTGGTAAATTCTAAGCTGCTTGTGGATGTCTCTTTTGATAAGGCCTATTAGAGACCTACACACTAGGCTGTCGTTCAAATGGACGGATCTCGGTGTCAAGTGGTCTTGCATAGATATAAACTTTAAGGTTTGACGCACACAAAGAATACCGGCCAAATAAGACTTGTCTGGGAAGAAGACTTCAGTTGGTTTTCTTCTCCATGTGAGAGTTTTAGGACCGATGTTATTCTCCCCTGTATGTGAATAATTTGTTTAGTTTTCTTTTATAATCGGTCTCGTTATTTACAGATGGCGTCATTATATACAGAATAATAAGGAGCGAGAAAAAAGTTCAGCGTTTTATAAATGTCTAAATAAATAAAGAGGATGGTCTGGCATACTTCATATACCATCGAATGCATGTAAATGAATAATAGCCTATCTAATGTACGATGACGATTAGCCCTTTCACAGACACACTGTGATCAAAAGTTCATTATTCGCCAGCGTTTAAAAGTTATTTCACACTAATACTGAACTTATATTCTCCATGAAACAGAAATCATGAACATATAAAAATATGGAAAAATGGACTTAAGTATTGATGTAAATTTACGTCAATACCTAGCAGACGATATCTTAAACCTCATTTGTCGTCTACATATCATAGTGTAGTCTTCAATGAAATTCTGTAGGAGCTCATTTTGTGAAAACTAATAGGGAAAACATAAAAAGATACTAATAACATAAGTTTAACTGAGGTAAAACATCTGATGACTGAGGTGTGAAATTAGAACGAGCGACTCTAGTTTCTCTGTAAGCAAGTTTCTCAACAAGACAGCATTATAAAATGGTTTGCATCACGTATGAGGATACTTTAGGTGAGGAAATCTGAAAGAGAAAGAATGGTAAAAAGAACTGAAAATCCAGAGGGAACATGAAATGTAATTATGTTTAGAAGAACAGCAAACGTTAACGAAAAACAAAGACACAAGCGAAAAGCCAAAACAATCTGAAAATTGAAACTTCGAGTTAGTAGAACAACATTCTGAATGGATTACATGTACTTGGTATATAATGCCCGCTTATACATAGATTACGTGCAACTAACCATTCATTTACTTAAACAAAACTAGTCATCATTGCTTCGTCCGAGTTATGTGCTTTTTTGAAGTAACATTCATGACATCAGTATAAGCGGAAGCATACTTATTGAGTGACTTTTAGCTATAGGAAATACCTTGTGAAATCCATAATCTTGAAGATGGGTAGGTATTTGGAGTTTGACAACGCTTAAATCAGTAACATCTTATACTATGAATCGTGCCCATCTAGTAAAATCAAATGCCGGAAGCAAGAGGTTTTGAAGGCATATTTTATAGAGTATCAGTATATCGATTATCGATTGATCTAGCCTGGCTTACGACTGTAGGGGAAGTTGAGCACGGTGTTCACACTCGTGATCTTGTGCGGATGTGTGACCAAGTGCCTTCAGCAAGATGAGTCCATTAAAACAAATGAGGTGAGCATCCAATGTCAAAGACTTACATAGCTATTTATTTTGGGGATTTATTTACCGCTACAATCTAAACATCTTTGAAGAACTATTGTAAACCGTTCGATTTATTTGATCATGGACCTTAGTGTTGAGGGTTGATTCTGATGAGGGTTGTTCGGTCACACGACAGTAATCACTGACTCACTAAATGTCCTTCAACAGTACTTGTGAAAAAGTAGTCCATTTCAAAGTAAATAAACACGTTTTATTGCATTATTTTTCCTTTGAATAGTGGGATATAACTTTCTCAGTCTAATATCTGCTTTCATTGTTCTGTTTGGTTTAATTTTCTAGTGCATCATTTTGCTGTGCTGAACTTCTGGTTAACATTTCGACAGAATGTGGGTCAACATTGTTTATTTCTAGTCTGACTTTATCAACTTTTCTCGACTTCCGTGGATTTACTTGTTTCGGAGAAGTAAGTCTGTAGTGACTAGAAAAATCTTGCTGCCACACAGTCGTCTGGTCATTTATGTTCGGATTGGAAAGTTAGAAAACAGCAGAATGCAAGGAGGCAGGAGGTTAAAATTAAAGGCTAAGCCAAATAAGTATGTAAATGAGCACAAAATAATAATGAAATGGATAAAATTAGAGGGGAATAAATAAGGTGTGATGGGTTGATAATAAAAAGAAATAAAGCGAATGATACAATACCTCATTTAGAATGGAAGTCTGGTCATTGCGTAGGATCAGAGTATTAGCTTTGATAATCTGAAAACTTAAGAGCAATGAAATAAGAAGCACGTGTAATGATTTCAAACTGTTTGGATTTTTTCTCAGTATACGTGAAACAAAAATTCACTTACAGATTATTTAAGAGATGGAAGACTTGGTATCATGATAATGCAGAACGACTTAGCATAAAGATGACTGTTGTCTAATTTCGATATTAACAAATAAATTATCATGCAGATGGAATGTAGACCCTGTTCGTATCATTTATTTTGTGCTAACAAATCCCGTCAATAAACTCGCGGACTTGAGGAAACGATTACGTGGGTTTCGTGTGTTGCAATCAATACGTTCATTTCGAAAAGGGCATGTGCCCACTTAACATTTCACTGATTACGATAGTTAATGAAACTCTAAAAAATGATTGTGACTACAACAGGGTGATAGTGATTGGATTAAATAATAATTGTACAGATACACTCAGGCACATGCAAAATGCATGATAGCAGAATTACAATGACATACATATGAGAGGACTATGTGCTGAAGTATACAACTTCTTGTAGAAAGAATACAGTCATTAGAAAAGCAAAATGGGTTCTTTTGTTGCATGCTATATGAGTTTGTCCAAAATGAGGATCGGTCTCTCTAATAATATGGAAGTTGCTTCAAACATATGGACGTTTTTAGTTTGGTGACGTAACAATTAAATCGCTATGTCAGGCGACGAAGGATTTTCTTTGACCATATATATGTTTTTATGCATAATTTTAAAACTATTTTCACTACAAGCGTTTGTCACATGGATTGGGAAAACATTCCACATCGATATACATGTGATGTGGAGATTTCACACGAGTATCCAGTCTTTGATACTCTGTTCTTTCAAGGATAGTGGTGTATATTGATTGAGCTCTAGTTCCCGTGTTTTCGGGTTACTATTGTTGTCTTAAATCAATAATTCAGCGTCCATTACGTCAATGGTTTACTAACCGACCTAACAGAATATGTTTGAAGCTGTCATGGAGTGCAGAAATAATGAGTTAAGATAGTAAATTAATACCGAGTGCTAGCGAAATTATCCATCAAGCTTAAAACATTCCTACCTGGTAGGACTCATGATTCGTGAATCGAGTTTCGTTACAGTTAAACAAACGCAATAGATGGTTGAGAAGCAGTACAGAAAGTAGTCGTGACTAGTGAAATCTAGTCATTTGTGAACTCACAATTAGAGTATGACTTCTTAGACTCGTTCTTTTTTAATAAGTCAGTTTCCAAGCAAGTACACTTCATGAGGTCAAAGAAAACAAGCCACAGTATAGCGATAAAAGGACAAGGAACTATCTGAATGAAGATGGTTGAAAAAGAAAGATGAAAGTTTGGGATTATGTGTGGTTTTGGGATTTAGCAAGGAAAATACGGTGTTCGAATACCAACTGGCTTTTTCGTCATCATTATTATAGCTCGTTTTCATAGTCATAACTTCCGTAGAATCATAATGGACTCATATTTATCGCAATTGTCCAGTCTTGTTTGCAGTAGGATTTCTCGTTAGGAAATGGATTAAAGGATTCATTCTATATTGAAGGGGTGGTTTTAGTAATAACCTCAAGATAACATAATGAAAACATATTGTGGTTAACCGACCTTATGTCAATTACAATACCAAGAGATCTCTAACACTAACATAGCGAAGATGTATTGATGGTTCATGATAAGATTTCATGCCGAATAATTTAACGCCACCGAAATTCATGCTGACTGAAATTTATTTCCTATATCAGTGGCTGCGTTTGTGAATTGCACACTTTCAAGACACTCGTGTTCTCATAATATCCAAGAAAACTTGTAGACCAAAAGATCCTATCTGTTCTTCAAGTATGCTACAGGAGTAGGATTATCTCATTAGATGAAACTTAGTTAATTATTTGAGTTTCACTTTATTTTGTACTGATTTTAGCCGTCCGGCTCTCATAACGATATACCTTTATTGACTCGTGCTAATTTCAGACGTCCTTTGAGCTTGGTTACTCAGTGTGAAAACCTGTATGCTACCTGTATTTTGTTCGTTCTTAGCTTTCGTACTCGCCTGATATGTCCCCTGGATTTTCCTGATCTGGTAGGAAGACAAATAGAAGGTGCATCAGGTCTGTATTCATTTCTTAGCATTTTATGAGTTCAAATCAGATTACCTCATAATCTCCGGTGGAACTGAGCAAACGTATCTGGCTTTTCATTCTGCTCTGCCTATGATAAACTGTAGAGTAACTAAATTACTTGGCCAGCTGCTCATTCTACATTTCTCAAGATATCCGAATCATCGTTTAAACAGATGCTTGCATCTTGACAAAAGTTTTGAAATATGGGTCACTTCAAAATTGTGGACTGTAGCAAACACATTCGTCTATCCTAAAACTCCTCAGGTTCTGAACCCGTTAATATAGAAACGAATTTTGATTACAAGTTATTTATTGATTAACTGGTTGTATCCATACATCTAATTGACCAGTTTCGTTATTTAGAAGCTAATCGAGCCAAGAATTTATATGCATCTCCTCGGGTAATTCACCCAGACAGCAATTCCAGCCAACTGATCGGGCTGCTAACTGCAATTTCAATAAGTGTGTGTGTATCCCGCTCTGAACACATTAGTATCCGACTTAGTAAATGTCCGTCTTGATACCCAGATGGTTCTGAATTCTCTAGCTGCGGCCGCGCGGTAGTGGGCCCGGGTCAGCATTACCCCAAGAACATTGTGAGACGGAGCGAAAACAGAGCTTGAGGGGTCACTTTTAGCAAGACGAGTAAGAGACTCAAGAATAGGTTTTATAATCCTCCATTCACGTGACGAATTCGCCCGTAGGTTTAATAATTTTCCTACTAAACCTAGGCACACCAAGTGCATGTAGTTCAATGGCAAGACCAATGTCATGTTAAGGTCGAGCGTTTCAAAACCAATGACAACTTTGTTGTGGATAGTTTGGCCTTGTCTACGAAAATTCGTCGTTCCATAACGCATATTCCACGCGCGACAAACTGGATGTTAATCTCAGGTCGAGGTCCATACGTTCTTTCAAGGATTCTCAAAGAGTAGGATGAAATATTTTTACCTCTAATTACGGAAGACAACTCCTTTTAGAAACATCCTCGTATACACGATATAGTTTATACGGTATTTGAAGATGTCAGTTTAACATATTCATAACGTACATGATAATATGCACATAACTATATATACGTTTTGACTATTTGAGAGAGTCACAGTCTTTCACTTTCAGAAAACACAATTATATGTAGTGAAGATTACTTCGAATTTTGCGCATTATAGCTTACAATGTGTTTAGATGCTATAACCAATATACCTTTTAGATTCACTGGCTCGATTCGGACCTCAATCTAACACTCAAAAATATGTAATCGTGTATGACGAAGGATTATATTCTAGACTTTACACACCAATAGATATGCCATTCCTTGTAATGTATTCGAATGTTATAACTCACTTTCTGAAATTACCCGTTCACTTCATTGAGTCTGTCATAGATTTGGGCCAGTACTCGTACCTGCAAAACCTTTTCATATATTTTGATCAAAAAGAAGGTTAAATATAGATGGTATTATTCCTCTTCAAAACAACAAGATAAGAGTAGAAGATGTTCAAAGACGTTTTACACGTCAACTACTAGGATGTAACTCGAATCTCGATTACACAGACAGATGTAAGCATCTATCTTTAGAACCTTTATGGCACCGTAGGCTAAAACACAATTTAATATTTCTCTACAAAGCGATATATGGGCTCTCCTTTCTAACCTCCTGCCCGACTATCACCCACGACCCAGCCTATAGACTTAGAAACAA